ACAATTTGCATTGTCTGCTCACTGGTAGGAGTCTTAAGTGTTTTTGAACAAGTCACAAAAGAAAAGATGGTCAGGGAGGGTCTGATGTATAAGCAACAAATGTGTGAGATTTCAGTTGTAGTTTATAAGCAAGTGATGAAAGTGTTCTCATGGATATCTGCTTATGTGAGGAGAAATCATAAATATACACAAAGGCATTAATAAACAATTAACCTACAGAAACAGCTGACCGAAGCTAGTAGGAGCTCAGATTCTAAACTGGCAGCTGCAGAACTTGCAGCCCTCTGAATGTGGGTGACAGTTATGTATCTTGGGCATCTTATGTGGCCATTGGCAATGGGTAAAGGATTTATTCTTAGTGCATGAACTGGCTTTTTGGATCTCATTCCTTATGGAGCGATACCTTACTGAGCTTATATATGGGGGTGGTATGGGAAGGATGAGACCTTGGTCCTATCTCAATGTGATGTGACAGACTTTGTTGACTCTTCATCAGAGGCCTTGCCCTCTGTGTGGAGTGGATGGTGGGTGGGGTGGGGGAAAGATAAGGAGATCAGGAGGAGGGGAGGGAGTGGAAACTAGGATTGGTATGTAAAATAAAAAAAAAAAAGATTGTTAAAAAGAAAAGAGAACAATGACTCCAATTTTGTTTCCTCCATCAGTCTCTGCAACACTTTTCATGAACTCTGGGATCTTGTCTCTTGCAATTATGCCACAAAGCAAACATTTTTATTACTAGTACAAAGAATTTTTGCATTAAATTTGGAGGCCTGAGAAAGAATGCCATTGTGAACACAGAATTTTATAAAAGACAGCAAAATTTGGAAAATGCTAGTAATGAACTTTAATATTATTCTGTCAAATTAAAGAGCATATTCTATCAAAACATCAAATTGGGTAAATTCCTTAACAAGTCTTGACCATCTAAGAAGAACAGAGTCAACCCTGTCCTACGTAGGTTTAAATGAACAAATCTTAAGCTTTGTGATCTGTGCTTCAAAATAAAGAAAAGTGACAAATACTTAACAGAATCTAAATGACATAGGGTTTCATTAGAGTTCAAACAAAGTGAGAAAGAGAATAGATAAGCCACTCCCCCTCTAACTTTCTAAGCTGTGAAAGTAAAATGCCAAGCAGCATAAACTCCTCACTTTCTTCATTACCTGGGGTAATAAAGTGACAAAGACTCAACAAGATATTGAAGAACAATCATAGGGTTATGGAATGAATCTCTGAACCCCACACGATACCAACACATCTAGAAATCTCCTATGTAACAACACAGGAATACTAAGCATAAAATCACATATTTCAGGAAAATAAGGATAGCAGTGGATGTTTCGGCTGCTAATACCCATGGATATTGTAATCAGATCATGAATCCTAAAATATAAAATTTCACAATGGACACTTAATTAATTTAGTTCTTTATAACTATGACATAATACTTTGCTTTCAACAAAACAGTATAATGCATACATACTAAACAATAACAAAGTAAAGAATTCATAAAATGGCATGAGTGTTATGATCAGCCTCTAGTATGGAATATATTTAGGAATTTTCAGAGCAGGTAATAAAAATACCTATACACAATATATTAAGAATTATAACAGAACCAAGTGGTGTTGGCACACACCTTTAATCCCAGCACTTGGGAGGCAGAGACAGGTGGATCTCTGTGAGTCTGAGGCCAGCCTGTTGAAAATAGTGAGTTCCAGGATAGGCTCCACAACTACACAGAGAAGCCCTGTCTTGAAAAAATAAACAAACAAACAAAAAACCCCACAAACAATTATAACAGAAAAAATGTACAACATAGAAACACGATTTGTAGTTTCAGCAGAAATATGAAAGGGAATCAAATTGAAAATGGTTTTAAAATAACCACCAACCAACATATAATTCTACAGCAACTAATTTTTTCTCCAACAATGAAGAATAGAAGTTACTATGTGAGAAGCAAAATCTGACATGGTATGCAACTGTTTGATATGCTTTGTAAGAAATGTTAAAAGAACTCTTTCAGAAAGAAAAAAAAGTATGTAAGTCAGAAACTCATATGTACAGGAAAACATAACTGTGTTGTAGAATAATAAATAAATATAAAGTGAAGTATTTTATTCTTTGCCTCAATATATCTACCGTATATGAATGTTAAAATAACATGACAGAAATATGAGAGAGGAAGCAAAATTTGAAAGTAGTCTGTGTGAAGATACTTGCACCATTTATGAAGTCTTATAATAGAATTTCAAAGTAGACTTTGATTGATTGGAAAGATCCACTTCAAAGTCTAAGGAAACCAGAAATAAATTTTTGAAAATGTATAATTTGTGTGTTAAGAGAGGAAACAGAAAAATAAAAATTTCTTAATTACTATCAGAAATGCTAAAGCGAAACAGAAAGACAAAAATGATTAAAACAAAAGGACACTTGCTATATATTAGTATAAGTATCACAAGAACAATACTAAATCAGTGACCTAAACATATTATGTAACAGTTGGAAAGTTTCATAGTGGATTATAAAAGCAAGTCTTGTCTACAAGAAGGTAGTCTTAAATATAATGATTAAAAATATATTAAAGATGAACATGAGAGGAAAGTTCTACCATTTTAACAGAAATAAAAACAATGTCAAATTTGGCCATATCTATTTCACAAGAAGAAGCAAATATTTCTTCCTTCCTTCCTTCCTTCTTCCTTCCTTCATTTCTTTCCTTCTTCCTTCCTTCTTCCTTCCCTTCTTTCTCCCTTTCTTTCTTTCTTTCTTTCTTTCTTTCTTTCTTTCTTTCTTTCTTTCTTTCTTTCTTTCTTTCTTGACAATTTCTCTGTGTAACAGCCCTAGCTATCCTGGAACTTGTTTTGTAGACCAGGCTGTCCTCAAACTCACAGAAATCTACCTTCTGCTTCATGAATGTTGGGATTAAAGGTATGTGTCACCATTGCCTGGCCTAAAAAGCAAAATTTAGATAAAGGGAATTTATCAGAGATAGTAGAGTGCGATATAATAATGCAGAGATTAATCTCCTAAGAAGATATAAAAATCATAGTTGTGTGTAAACTGAATATTCCTGCGTAAAATTAGTTCTAAAGTGGCTAGAGAGATGAAATAGCAGTTAAGAGCACTGCCTGATTCTCTTTAGCACCCAGGTTTAATTCCCACAACCCACATGGTACTTTACAACTATTTCTAAGTCCAGTTCCAGGGTATCTGAAAACTTCTTTTAGACTATGCAGGTACCAGGAACACATGTGGAAAAAAAAAAAAAAAAAACAGACATGCAGGCAGGCAGAACAAAACAAATAAAATTTTAGTGAAAACAAAATAGATATAAAGACAAATCCATTCATATAGTTACATATTTATTTCAGCATCCTCTTATGAGCATTGACAAGCCAAAAGGCACAAGTCCGTCCATGTACTCCTTTCTCTGCCACTCAGATATTTTGATGAATTTTTTTTTCATTTCATTTATAATTGTAAAATTTGTAAACAGCAAGCATTGTGGTGCATTACTGTTAGCTCTGTGTTCTAGATGCTGAGGAAGGATGCTCAGGCTGCGTTATATAGCCATTTCCAGAAGGAAATAGGGGCAAACTTTTCAATGACTCAGGGCTCTATCCGTAAAAGAAAACTGGCCTGCTAGAGCCCTATTCATACTTTATGGTAAGTTGGTAATCATGAATCTTAGGCTCAAAATTTCTTCATCTTCCTTCCTATTCAGGACTATGATAGAAATGAGATACCAAGTTCCTCACTCAGCTCATTCAAGAGGTATCCTAGCCCAATGACAAATCAACAGGGGGAAAAAATTAGCAACACGTCCTCCCCTGCTCTGGAACAATGGAATGGACCACCCTTGGGATTCTATTCCAAGACATAGAAAAGGGTGGGGGGAGGGGAACAGGAAGAAGATGATTCTGACTTCCGCTTCCCCAGCCTGTGGGGACATGGCCTTCGTCTGAGAGGTGTGGCCTCTGATCAAGTAAGAGAGACTTCTAAGTGTTGTTCTGTGCCTTGGGAGATAATCTGAATTGAAATGGTGACAATCCTACACCACTGGGAATCCCCTCAATCTATAAATCATTCTCTGGGAAAGGAGGTGACAACAAACCCTGCACCTACTCCTCTCCGTCTCCAGAGTTCTGGAACTTGGTTGTTAGAACCGGAGGCCATTGTCTTTGCCAACAAGTCTCACAGGGAATGAAGTTTCATGTGTGAGGCTGGTTGACTCAGGCAGCATAAGGGGAATTCTTGGAACTTGCTATGTTACAGAGAGGCTCATTGTTAAGATTACGGAGAATTCGTTTTCCATACCAGGTTGGGAAGGGGCACAGACACCAGAACTCTGTATGATAATAGTATGAGTGGATCAGGGAAGCCCCCAAATGATATACTACTTCCACTTGTTTCTAATAGAATAGAGGTATGGGACATTTTGTTACTAGGGGCCTTACCTGGTAAGGACTTTCCTCATTGTGTGACTCATACTCTTGGTAACTGCAAGGGCTCTAGAATATCGCCTCTCTTGACAGCACTAAGAGTTCTGAGATCCCTTGAATGAAATGGTAGCCGTGAATTTTGTAGAATGAACTTCAAAGTAATGGAGAGAAATGGATATTCAGACTTAACCAAACATGAATACATACATGGTTGGGAACGTAAACCATGAGCATGTTGATTCTTATTCAGGGGGAACAGCCAGTCCTCTCACTAGGAATCCCCAAATTGGGTTGTCATGCAGCAGTCTAACAAACTCTAATTTCTTTTGCAGGGTCCACAATAATCAAGCTGACTAGGAGAGCAGGAGTCCTGATCAAGCTAAACAGGAGAACAGGAACACAGTATGTTGTCCTTTAGCAAAGCAGTGAAGGAGGCCTTCCTAACAGTAAAGTTATTCTTTACTCACACATTTTCTTTCTATCCTTCCAGGTTCCTGCCTTGCCAGGTTCTCCTGACTAAAATCCTGATTATTGTCTTTGACCCCTGCTGTCATGCCTAGGGCCCACAAGAATAAGGGTCAGAAGAGCAAGGGCCGCTCCCGTGCCAAACATCATCGTGCGCATGGGGACAGCCAAGGGGTTCAACCTTCTGCAGTGGGAAAATCAGGATCTCCTCATGTTGGCCAAGCTAATTCCCCAAGCTCTTCTAATGCCCGCACTCCTAAGGGAGCTGCATGTCTTTCCTCTCCTGATGCAGGTGTGTCCTGCACAGGCTCTAATCTAGGTGCTGGTGGTTCTGATGTTCCTGCTGTTGGTGGAAAGCCACGTGCCTTTCAGGCAGAAGCCTTCAATCAGCCGATATGCAAAGATGCTCTCACAAAGAAGGCGAGTATGCTGGTTGAGTTCCTGCTGGAGAAGTTTCAGAAGAGTGAGGAGTTCACAGATGATGATATGCTGAAGGTTGTCAACAAGAAATACAAAACACAATTTTCTGACATCCTTAGGAAATCTTCCTCCCGCATGGAAATGATCTTTGGAATGCGTTTGAAGAAAATCAATCCCAATAGTCAGTCCTATGCCATTGTCAGCAAGCTAGGTCTCTCCACTGCTGAAATTCTAAGTGGCAAGAGGGGTTTGCCAAAGATGGGTCTACTGATGACCATCTTGGGTCTGATATTCACAAAAGGCAATCGTGCTACTGAGGAAGAGGTCTGGAAATTCCTGAGTGTGTTAGGAGTATATGCTGGGCGGAAGCATTTGATCTTTGGGGAGCCCCGAAAGCTCATCACCAAAGATCTAGTTGAGCAAAATTACCTTGAGATGCACAAGATGTCTGAGGGTAAATCCTCACGATATGATTTCCTGTGGGGTTCCCGGGCCCATGTGGAAACCAGCAAAATGAAAGTCCTAGAGGTTTGGGCTAGGATCAATGACACGGTTCCCAGCTTCTTCCCTACTCCATATGAAGAAGCTCTTAAAGATCAAATGGAGAGAGCAGAGCAGGGATCTCCAGCATTGGGTTGCACAGCTGCCATGGCCAGGGTTCATCCCATGAGTGCGGCCTGCAGCTCCTCTCACAAATAGCTGCAACAAACTTGGAAAAGTAGTTAGCCTTCCATATAGTGGAGGGTTTATGGGTCACAGGAATAAAGCATATATTTTATTTTTGTCTGTTATACAATGAGAAAATGTTATGTATAATTATTTCGGTGAATTGAACATGTTCCATTAATGGAAAATTAATTTGTTTCACGATCTTTGTTTCTTAATATAATGCTGGACACATTTATTGTTGCATTTTGATTTTATAACCAAAGAGTTCTGTTACTTTAAAAACAATTGAAAAATTTCCACACAATTCTTTTTAGTGTCGCATAAGGTAACAAGAAATTGTAAAAGTGATTCTCATGGAAATGAAATATCACACACTAGTGAAACAAATACAATGATACATTCCTATTTGGCTGCATGGTTTGTCTGTTGTTTGTAATATCAATTGACACAAACTTGGATCTGATTACTTGCTCAATGGGCAAACTAACCAATTATAATAAACTTTTTATTAATGCTTTCATTGCTTCATTATTTATTTACAAAGCATAGTTGAGCATCTGTTCTTTGGACCTCCAAACCCAATTCAATCAGTACTCAAGAGGACTTTAAAGCCTAGTCATAACTACAAGTAAGAAGATGATGAGATTTGACATGAACAAGTAAAAATATAATATGAAGAATTACAGATTTCAGATATAAGATAAGTGTAAACTGTTTGGTGAAGGTAGTTTGGACCATTAGGAATTCCCAATTTCAGTGCATAAAATTTTCAGTGATGTTGTATATAAGTATAAGTGAAAATACAGAGGTAGTGATCAAGGACCTTACCTTTAGGTAGCATATCTTCCAGCAAAGAAACTGGAATGGAGAATACATCTTAAACATTTATTTGGAACTTTAAAACTACCAGAAGCAAGAGTCTATCTTGTAAGAATGCAAGGGGTCTATGTGATTGCCCTAGTGCAGGTAAATACCATGCAAAGTCTATACACTTGGATGTCCTAGGATTCTCTGGCAAATCTTAATAATACTACTCTGAGAATAGGACCAAGAAACAACTGAGTTGGCATTCTTGGTAGGGGCTGGTAGATCTATATTCTATTTTAATTAAAGGATATATATTTGTGTTTGTATGTATATGTATTTGTGTGAGTGTGCAAGTATGTAATATATGAATACACACATGTCAGTGTGCAATCTTTCACAGAGTCCAAAAAACAATGACTGCTGCTCCATCACACTTATTTTTATATCCTCGAGACAAGCTAGTAGCTAGCAACATCCATGGATCCTCCTTTACCTGACTCTTCCTCCCAACAGCTGTGAGACTGCAGGTGTATTTTATATACCTAGGATTTTACATGAGCATTGAGTATTTGAACTAAGGCTCTCATGGCTGTATATCAAGTGTTCTTCTGATGGCCACCTTCCCATTCTCCAAGAGGACATAGTTTTTTATTTGATTATTTTAAATCCTGATCACTGTTAATACCCCTTCCTCTCTTCCTCTTCTCTCATCTCCCCTCTCCCAATCTATTCCTCCTCTGTATCTGCTCAGAGATGGATAGGCCTACCATGTATATCAAACAAGTACAGCATATTATGTTGCAATAAGAATAAGCACCTCCTCTCATATTTAGGCTGGACAAGGCAGTTTTTTATCTTTTTTTATAAATTTTATTTAAATAAGAAACAATCCACTTTTACATATGAGTCCCAGTTCCCTCTCCCTCCCATCTTCCAATGTACCCCACTGACTCACCATACCTTCCCCCATCCACTCCCCAGGGAGGGTGAGGCCTTCCCTGAGGTATCATGAAAATCTGCCAAGTCATTTGGGGCATGGCCTAGGCCTTTCCCCATGTATCTAGGCTAAGGGAATGTATCTCCATGGGAAATGGGATCCCAAATCTTTTCTTGTACTGTAGGTACAAACAATGGATCTACTACCCAAGGCCCCATATACTGTCCAGGCCTCCCATCTAGCACTCACATTCAGGGGACCTGGTTCCATTCTATGCTGTTTCCCAAGCTCTGTCAGACTGGGGTACAAAGGTTTCCACTTGCCTAGGTAAGCTATCTCTGTGAGTCTTCCCAGCATTTCTTGACCCCCTTTTTCATCATTCCTCCCTCTCTAAAACTGTATTCCAGGAGCTTGGCTCAGTGTTTAGCTGTGGATCTCTGCTTCTGCTTAAATCAGCTACTGGATGAAGGCTCTAGTATGACATTTAAGGTACTCATCATTCTCAATATATGGGAAGCACATTAAAAGTAGCCTCTCCACTATTGTTTAGATTCATAGTTGGGGTCATCCTTGTGGATCTCTGTACAATTTCCTAGTGCCATATTTGTTTTGAACATATAATGATTCCCTATATTGATGTGTATTTTTCTTGTTCTCCTCTATTCATCCCCAGACTCAATCTTTATGATACCTCATGTTCTCCTCCTCCCTCCTCTTCTCTGTTCTGCTTTCTCCTCCCTACCTTCCTCTCACCACATGCTCCCAATTTGTTCAGGAGATCTTGTCCCTTTCCACTTCATTGGGGATCACATATGTAACTCTTAGAGATCTCCTTGTTTCCTAGCTTTTCTGGAGGGGTGGATTGTAGGCTATTAATCCTTTGTTCCATGTCAAATATCCATATATGAATGAATACATACCATGTTTGTCTTTCTGTAACTGGGTTACCTCACTCAGGATGGTTTCTTCTACTTCCATCCAGGTGCCTGCAAATTTCAAAATTCCACTGTGTAAATGTACCACATTTTCTTTAACAATTCTCATTTGAGGAGCATTTAGGTTGCTTCCAGGTTCTGGCTATTACAAGTAATGCTGCTATGAAGGTAGTTGAACAGAAGTCTTTGTTGTATGAATGTGCTTCATTTGGGTATGTGCCTAAGAGTGGAATTGGTGGATCTTGAGGTAGACTGATTCCCATTTTCCTGAGAAAGCACCATACTGATTTGCAAAGTGGCTATACAAGTTTTCACTCCCACCAGCGATGAAATTGTGTTCCCCTTTCTCCACATCCTCTCCAGTATAATCCATCTTTCGCATTTTTGATTTTGGCCACTCAGATGTGTATGAGAGTTGTTTTGATTTGCATTTCCCTGATGTCTAAGGATGTTGGAAAATATCTTTAGTGTTTTTTAGTCACTTTAGTTTTCTCAATTGAGAATTCTATGTTTAGTTCTTTACCCCACTTTTTAATTGAAGTATTTGGTGTTTTGGTGTAAGACCCTCAGAATGAGGAGTCTTCCAGGTTCGGTCGATACCCCAAGAACTCAATGTCCAGTCCAGTTGCTGCAAAACACAAGAGGCTTTAATGAACAGGAAATGTTTGCGCAAACGGGCTCCTCCAGCAAGCAGGCTTAGGAGAAGCCCCCTCTCCCAGGCTTAGGTGTTTTTAAAGGCAAACCCACAAGCTTAGGGAGGGGGTGGGACCCTATGTCCATTGAGTATGTGACACTTGGAGGCCAGATGGTCTGCTATTACGGTCAACAGACCTTAGGGCCTCAGGATGTGCTAATTAATTTTCTCTGGCCAAACCGGAGTTGTAGCTATCTCTTTGTTTCCTAAGGACCCTATTCACCACCTATTGACTCATAGGAAAGGAGGGGCAGTGTGAATTCTTCTTATCTCAGGGCCTGGTGAGAGGAAGCTAGCAAATTCCAAGGAACAGATATTGGTTAGCTTTCCAGGTCAGACCGTCTTTCATTTAACTTCACTTTTTGGTCTTTCATTGGTGATTTGCTTCTTTGGTTCTTTGTATGTTTTGGAAATCAGCCCTCTGTCAGATATGGGGTTGGTGACGAAGTTTTCCCATTCTGTAGGCAGCCATTTTGTCTTGATTACTGTGTCCTTTGCCTTACAGAAGCTTCTCAGTTTCATGAGGTCTCATTTATTGTCAATCTCAGTGTCTGCACTACTGGTGCTTTGTTGAGGAAGTGTTCTGAGCAAGTTTGTTCAAGGGTACCTCCTACTTTCTCTTCTAAGAAGTTCAGTGTGGCTGGATTTATGATTTATTTTGAGGTCTTTGATCTATTCAAACTTAGATTTTGTGCACAGCGATAGATATGGATCCATCTGTAATCTTCTACATGTCAACATCCAGTTATGCCAGCACCATTTGTTGAAGATGCTTTCTTTTTTCCATTGTATAGTTTTAGCTTCTTTGCCAAAAATCAGGTGTTCATAGGTGCATCGGTTAATATCAGGGTCTTCAGTTAGATTCCATTGTCTGTTTTGTGACAATACCAAGCTGTTTTCATTACTATAGCTCTATATAGTAGAGCTTGAAGTCAGGGATTGTGATGCTTCCTGAAATTCTTTTATTGCACAGGATTGTTTTGGCTATCCTGGGGTTTTTTTTTTCTTTGTTTGTTTTGTTTTGTTTTGTTTTTACATATAAAGTTGAGTATTGTCCTTTCAAGGTCTATGAATATTTGTGCTGGGATATTGATGGGGATTGCATAGAATCTGTAGATTGCTTTTGGTAAGAATGTCATTTTTACTATGTTGATCATACTAATACAAGAGCATAGGAGATCTTTCCATTTTCTGGTATCTTCTTCAATTTCTTTCTTTAAAGACTCAATTTTCTTTCTATACAGGCCTTTCACTTGTTTGGTTAGAGTTACCCCAAGATATGTTATGTTGTCTTTGAGGGTTACTCCATTTTTTTTGGGGGGGGCAGGGTATGGCAAAGCTGAATGCCCTCTCTTTTATTTAATTTATTATTTTACATGTCGATCCCAATTCCCTCTCCCTCCCTCCCTCTTACCCTCTCTGCCCCCTCACATGCAAAATGATCACCCTCCCCTCCCATTCCCACACCCCAATTCCACATGTAGGGCAATGCCATCCAGGTGGGATCATGTAGATCTGACAGGTCATTTGAAGTAGGGAGTAGGACTTCTCTCCTGTCTCTATGTTAAGGCAGTATCCCTCCATGGGGGATGTTTGCACAAGTACCTTTTGTGCACCAGGGATACATCCTGGTTCCACTATCTGAGGTCCCTTAGAC